TGTGTATAAGAGAGAGATATATATATATATATATATATATATATATCTCTCTCTTATACACATATATATGTGTATAAGAGAGAGATATATATATATATATATATATATATATATCTCTCTCTTATACACATATATATGTGTATAAGAGAGAGATATATATATATATATATATATATATATATCTCTCTCTTATACACATATATATGTGTATAAGAGAGAGATATATATATATATATATATATATATATATCTCTCTCTTATACACATATATATGTGTATAAGAGAGAGATATATATATATATATATATATATATATATCTCTCTCTTATACACATATATATGTGTATAAGAGAGAGATATATATATATATATATATATATATATATCTCTCTCTTATACACATATATATGTGTATAAGAGAGAGATATATATATATATATATATATATATATATCTCTCTCTTATACACATATATATGTGTATAAGAGAGAGATATATATATATATATATATATATATATATCTCTCTCTTATACACATATATATGTGTATAAGAGAGAGATATATATATATATATATATATATATATATCTCTCTCTTATACACATATATATGTGTATAAGAGAGAGATATATATATATATATATATATATATATATCTCTCTCTTATACACATATATATGTGTATAAGAGAGAGATATATATATATATATATATATATATATATATATATATATATTAGCGAATATTATAATTTTATATGAGTCTTACTATTTGATATATTTTTCTTTAAATTCTTTTAATTAGTTCATGTATTTTTCTAAAGTGTTCTTTTTTAGTCATCTGTGTCTAAAGTGTATTTTTTAGTTTTCTGTAATAATTTATTATAATTAATTAGAATTTAGCTGCGCTTGAGAGGAACCATGTCACAACGTATTAAATCTTTCTCTCTCTTTCTCTTTTTCGTTGAAGTATTCCACGCATTCATATTTTCAGAGAAAAATTTTCGAATGTCGCCTCTTCGTGAATTTCTCGTTCATCTAATCAAGCCATTATAAGTCATCAAAGTTTCATAGACGGCTGATGGCCGTCTATGAAGTCGCGAAATCCATATAATCATGAATCATCGCCGACTCCTCGCGGGAAGAAAGCTGATGCACCTTGTCTGTCTCGCGCCGAAGTACAAATGAATTGGATTATAGTTATGCAAGAATAATCCAATTCACAAAATTTTTATTTTTTAGTTTTTGTTCTCTTGTTTGGTAGTCCATACGTCTCTGTACATAAAACAAAAAGCCTTATAGGCGCCTAAAATTAATTAAAGTATAGTTTTTATTTTCGACTGATTGCACCATTTTTTACTAGTAGCGTCTTTCTTATCCATTTTGTTCAGTTTGTCAATGGATATCCTTAGAAAGAAGAAAATTGATTATGCTTGACCTTTTAAACGGTCGCGAAAGATCAGTGCTATCTGTACTTTTTAAGTCATGTGTCAAATTTTCATCTTCATTTTCCGCAAAACGTATTTCATATGGGTTGGATCATTCTTGCATAACTGCAGTCAATTACAGATTCGTCATTGTCGTCTTCGCAATTATAATAACGACCTGAAAAGGGCGCTATCCGTCGCGACGTTTCCTCATCCTTCCCGTGTCTGTCGCGCAATAAAATTAGAAGTCAAACGGATTTGCAGCCATCGCGTCAAACGACAACGGTGTCGCGCCAAACGCTTTCCCGAGACGATTTTCTCCTGCTTTTCCTCTCTCTCTCTTTTTCTTTCTTCGTCATCCATCGTCTGCGTTTCGGCCGACCGGAAGCTACTTTGCAATGCGCCGTCAAAGTCGACCCTATCGGTCGCGACCCGGGGGAAAAAATAATATTAAAACCACACGCGCGCGCGTAAAAAGTTTACTCATTGCGATCGTCGCGCGTGGCGGAATTTCTGAAACTTTTTACGTCGCACCGCGGCGCAATTCGACGTTGCTCTTATGCAAAGCGTGGGATTACTTTAAATAAATTACTGCGTGATAGCCGGCATTATTTTTATAGCTTCGTCGGTGTAGCGCCGTTGTGGTCGTCGTTTTCGCCGTCGTCGAAGCTACATACGTTGGTCGTACGGCCCATATTAATATTATATTATTATCTAATTTAGAAGCATACCTGACACACGGATATACACATACGCGCTCGCATTCTTCTCGCACGGCCAAGACGCAGGATACTTTTCCTATCTGTTTGTTTGTCTCTCTCTCTTTCTGTCTCGCCCTCCCTCCCCCTTCTCTGAGAAAAGTTCACATTACGATCTCGTGTTGTACGTTATGATGTCAGGCTGATGTCATTCACGGCGACGACGGCGCGTTTTCTACGCGATGTGCACATTGCACGCCGGGAGAAATAAACGTACACACAGGCGCGCGCGATAACTCGCGTTCGCCAAATTGCGCGTGACGTCACGCGACGTTACGCCCGTCCTCTTGTTGTTTCGTTTCTTTCTTTTTCACTTTTTTTTGTCGACCTCTCTTTTCGCTCGTTATATATGAACCGACGAGGATAGAGGTGCGCCCCCGCGCGCGTCTCGTCAACGTAATTGCGATTGCCGCAATCCTCGTTAAACAAGCCGTCCTGGCGTGAGGCGTCGTCTCTCTCTCTCTCTCTTTCTCTTTCCTTCCCTTTCTCTCTCGTCATTAATGAACTTGTAATAATTTCAGATATGATGTAATCCCGCGCGCGTTATCGACGTTAATGTGTATAACCGCCGACGGATATAAACAAGTGTGGCGTCGCGCCGCCGCGGGAGTTTATTTCAGCTCGCATCCGCGATCTCTTTCTCTCTCCCTCCCTTTTTCTCTCTGCTTCCTTCTCGCTCGTGTTTTTTAATATAAACCGCGATTACGAAATTGACAAGCGCCAGTGGTTATGTAAATCGTTATCACACTTCAGTCCAGACGAGATAGAGCGCGTTATTGACGAGAGAAGCGAGCAGAGAGAAAAAACGATAGCCATATTCAGGCGGACCTCGGTTCTCGCCTCGAAGCGGATTTATACACGTCTCTCCGATCGGCTGTTATCATCAGCCAGTTTCGTTATTTCTCCTCTGGATTGATTACACCGATTTTTATATATATATATATATATATATATATATATATATATATATATATATATATACATGTATATCTATATATGGATTGATTACACACCGACTTTTCTCCTACGTATGGTTAGATTACACCGAATGATTGATTGTTATCAGCCACGATTACGAGTACGAGACGAAGTGGGCGTCTTCGTCAGGTAGTAATGCATCAGTGATAATGCGCAGCTATCTACACCCACTGTTCCTATCAGGTGTTATCGTCGGTCGTTTTATCGTTGAGAAAACCCGATAAAATAGCGCGCCATTCGCTTGTGCCGACTCAGCGAGCACCACTGTAATAATGATCATTGTTTATATCACAGAGATTAGGCGAATCGAGGAGAGGGAAGAAAGAGGGGAGAGAGAGAGAGAGAGAGAGAGAGAGAGAGAGAGAGAGAGAGAGAGAGAGAGAGAGAGAG